TTGAAAAAAGCTTTTGTTAAGCCTTTCATGGCTTAGCTCCTTTACCAGTTGACCATCCATGTCGATTTCCCATTTGATCTCTTTAGACATAAAAATAAAAAGTTGAATTTTGTACATACTTTATGTTTAAAAACAAACAAATATTATTGTATGGCTAAACTATGTCAATAACACAGCAACATTGTATAAAAAAAACACATAATTTATAATAGATGGAAAAAAATACTCCAGAATACCATGTTTATCAAGAATGGAATGCATATCTTAATATTTATAATATGAATAAAATTCAATGTTAACTACCAAGCACATTTTATTTGAAACAATATTAGCATGACATTTATTGGAAGTATTAGATGCACGACTTGTACATAAATATATAACTAAACAGCATTTTTCTCTAGAAAAAATCTTTTATGCCAGCTATGCTCTCAGTTTGGCTACTCTGGGCAAATCTTAAATTCTCTTTGAATTCACTTTGAATTTTCACTATATTAAATAACCCTGGTAAAGGCAATGTAATACTGAAAAACTGTCATTTTAGCTTTAATTGCTAAATATTTCTTACTTGATGTTTCAAAATGTGATCTTTTTATTTTTTGTTTTGTTTTCAGACTTACATTTTAAAGTTGAATATGTCAAATCAAACTCATGTTATTGAATTTATAATTACTGGCTTTGCAAGCACTAGGGAAATCCAACTGATTTTGTTTGCGGTCTTCTTGCTGATGTACATACTAACATTTACCCAGCATGCAGTGATCATTGTGGTTATACACTTGGACTATCATCTCCACACACCTATGTATTTTTTCATTCTCAACCTCTCATTTCTAGAGATAAGTTATATCACTGTAACTGTTCCCAGGATGTTATTGAGCTTCATATCAGGCATAAAGACCATCTCTCTAAATGGATGCTTCTCCCAGTTGTATATCTTCTTCTTCCTAGGTACCACAGAATGTTTCTTACTTACTGTGATGGCTTATGATAGATATCTGGCTATCTGTGATCCTCTACATTACAATGGAATTATGGATAGAAGAACCTGTATTAAGTTTGCAGGAGGATGCTGGTCTGTTGGTTTACTGGCTCCATTTTTGCCAACCACATTTATATTTCGATTGTCCTTTTGTGGCTTTGTCATAAATCATTTTTTCTGTGATTCTCCACCACTATTAAAGCTCTCGTGTCAAAACATACACACTATTGAAGTAATTAATTTCATCTTGGGATCATTAATACTTCTAACTTCATTTTTATTGACAATGATATCATATGTTCATATAATTTCTACAATACTTAAGATTCCTACCGCTGATGGACGTCAGAAAGCCTTCTCCACTTGTGCATCCCATCTCACCATTGTGACTATATTTTATGGCACTACTATTTTCACATATGTTCGACCCAGAACAATCAGTGCATTTAATTTTAACAAGACAGTATCTTTAATCTACTCTGTTATCACACCAATGATCAATCCAATTATCTACAGTTTAAGAAACAATGATATCAGACAAGCATTTAAAAAAGTAATTGTTCAAATATAGCAGTAATGATTATCGTATCATTTAATGCATTTGTATTTACATATCTATAACAAAAACATTAAAGATCGATTAGAAAGCTTTACCAGACTAGGAAATCATTTAACTTTTTTTTTCAGGACTCTTATGGACTAGATTTGATATTGAAACCATCTGGAAATTAAGTTCTCTGGAAGTGCAATTGCATGTTGCATTGTCTTGTAAAGGTGCAAAGCATTGGCTCGAAACCATTGTCATGATTCAAATTTATGGTCATAGTTTTGGATTAGTAGCCAATATTTAAATTAAAAAAATTACTTAACAGCTCTTTGTTTAGCTGTAATATTATATATAATAAAAAATGTTCAGCAAAATATCTTCAGCAAATTCTGTGTACTTTCTTTGGAATTTCCAATATTATGGAGACGTCATTGCTGCTTTAGTACACAGTTTTTTTTTGGATGGTGGATGGTTGCTGTGGACTTAATGAATATAAAATTCCTGTTTCAAATACTGATACTTTTTGAAGTCTCACCTGAGTGGCTAAGAATTGCTGGTATTTAAATTAAACAATAATTAACAAAGTTTAGTGTCTGGGTCCTCTTAGCAAAATGAAAGTTTACTATACTAGCTGATACTCTACTTACTGATATTACTGATAGCATTTTTCCAACAGACTTCAATAGAGAAACAGCAATTCAGAGGGATGAGTAACCCCTTCCTCTGCTAAGAGAATTTAGTCCAGTAATTTAATATGTGTAATGATTTACACTGAATTGTGAATTAGAAAAGGAATAGGAAAATGTATATAAAAATGTGAAATTGCTACATATAGTAGTTTTTTTTTTTTTCAATCAGCATAGCTGTTTTTCTCTGTATCTAGTGGTCTTTGTCAGCTCACTTAAATACTCTGTTTTGTGAATTTATTTCAAAATGGTAAAACAATATTGATACATGATTTGTTGTCAATGCCTCATATAAATAAAGTTTAACGCATATAAGAAAGCTTATATGAGCAAAGGCATAATACATGTGATAATGTAACGTAACTTGAAATGTGTAGTTCTGGCAATTATAATATGGTCAGGCCATCTACGTGGAAGTGGTGAGGCTCTGAATTAAGTAAATATGTATTTACCACTTATATTATATATTTGAGATGTGTATGCATAGGGAACTTTTGTATTTTTCCATATATGCCTCTTCTTACTTAATTTTCAATTTTGGGTGGTGCCACATATACACATTTCCATTGGTGGGTATTATAGCAGAGGCCTACCCAGGTGTTAAACATTCCTAGTGGGTGGTGATTTTAGGAGTTATATAAGGCTTGTTGTCATTAGCTTGTCTAATATAGCTTGGTGCTACTTCTAAGTGCTGTTTCTAAGTGTGTAGTTGGAGATATTCTGGAGAGTTTTACAGAAGCTTCAACTGTCTAAGAGTTGTGCTAAGAGCTTTCTTTTCTACTGTTACAGGTAAGATTCATCTGTAGGAAAAGGTTACTGATTGCACAAGGTTTGAATGGAGACTATGGTGAGGCCTAATAGAAAGCAGTTGTTGTTGGGGGATTCCATTATAAGAGGTGTGGGGATGGACAATGGTGGTCTTGTGAGGTGTCTTCCCAGAGCTACTGCTCACAGAGACAGGAGACGTATCTGTAATATTGTTAAGCAAGCAAAGCAGGAAGGGGAATTGGATTTACTTGTCCATCTAGGGACAAATGACTTGGCTTGCAATGAGGTTTCAGAGGTTAAGGAAGTTTTTAGTGTTTTTGCCAATGATATACGGCAGGTTGCTTCCACACTGTCATTCTCTGAAATTCTGCCTGTGCAGAACACTCAGAAAGACAGGCAGATGCGTATTAGGGACTTTACACTTGTGTAGGTGTGATTTATAGGCCCCCAGGACAAATTGAAGAGTTAGATAATCTACTAGTTGAGGAAATAGCTAAAATGACAATGAAGGGGGAAGTTATCATCATGGGTGACTTTAATCTTCCTGATGTAAATTGGAAAACAAAATTAGCTACTTGTGCTAGGAGCACACATATTCTAAACTCCCTACTGGGATTGTCTCTAAAACAAGTTGTTGAGGAGCCAACTCGTAAAGAGGCCATACTAGATTTAGTGTTAACAAATGGAGATTTGGTATCAAATATTACTGTAGGTGAAAGTTTAGGATCCAGTGATCATCAGTCAGTGTGGTTTAATATAAAAACAGTGACTGAGTCACACCACACAAAAACAAAAGTTTTAGACTTTAGAAAAACAGACTAACATTAGAATATGGGTAAAGGAGTCATTATCAGACTCGAGCAATTAAAATGGAGTCCAAGAGAAATGGGAATATTTAAAAGTTGCACTATTGAAGGCAACAGAAAATTGCATTAGGCTTGTCAGTAAAAGCAAAAGATTCAAGAAACCACTGTGGTATTCCGCAGATGTGGCCAAAATAGTTAAAAACAAAAAGTTAGCATTTAGGAATTATAAAAAAAAACAGAGTGAGGAAGACAAAATGATCTATAAGATTAGGCAGAAAGAGGCTAAGCAAGTTATAAGAGCTTCAAAATCACACACAGAAGAGAAAATAGCACAGTCAGTAAAAAAGGGGAATAAAACATTTTTTTAGATACATAAATGAGAAAAGAAAAGTAAAACAAAGATTAGTTAGATTAAAAACAAAAGAAGGAAGGTATGTAGAAGAGGATAAAGGTCTAGCTGACTTCCTCAATGAATAGTTTTGTTCTGTATTTACAGATGAAAATGAAGGAAATGGACCTCAGTTGAGAAAAAGGATAAATGAGTCATTTATTACACGTGAGTTTACAGAGGAAGAGGTTCTATTTCAACTGTCAAAAGTAAAGACAAATAAGTCAATGGGACCTGATGGAATACACCCAAAGCTATTAAAAGAGCTTAGTGGTGTACTAGCAAAACCATTAACAGATTTATTTAACCAATCATTGTCAACAGCAGTAGTCCTAGGAGATTGGAAGTTTGCGAATGTTGTGCCCATTTACAAGAAAGGTAATAGGGAGGAGTCGGGCAACTATAGACCAGTAAGCCTTACTTCAGTAGTGGGGAAACCATGTTAAAGGATAGGACTGATGAACATCTAAAAACACATGGATTTCAAGATCAGAGACAACATGGGTTTACTTCAGGGAGATCATGCCAAACTAATTTTATTGATTTTTTTGATTGGGTAACTAAAATTATAGATCAGGGTGGTGTAGTAGACATTGATTACCTAGATTTCAGTAAGGCTTTTGACACTGTTGCACATAGAAGGCTTATCAATAAACTGCAATCTTTAAGTTTGGATTCAAATATTGTTGAATGGGTAAGGCTGAGTGAAAGGCAACAGAGTGTTGTAGTTAATGGAATATATTCCAAGCTTGGACTGTCACCAGTGGGGTACCTCAGGGATCTGTACTTGGACATATTCTCTTTAATATTTTTATTAGTAATATTGCAGAAGGTCTTGATGGTAAGGAATGTCTTTTTGCTGATGATAATAAGATATGTAACAGGGTTGATGTTCCAGGAGGGATAAGCCAAATGACAAATGATTTAGGTAAACTAGAAAAATGGTCAGAATTGTGGCAACTGACATTTAATGTGGATAAGTGCAAGATAATGCATCTTGGACGTAAAAACCCAAGGGCAGAGTACAGAATATTTGATAGAGTCCTAACCTCAACATATGAGGAAAGGGATTTAGGGGTGATTATTTCTGATGACTTGAAGGTAGGCAGACAATGTAATAGAGCAGCAGAAAATGCTAGCAGAATGCTTGGTTGTATAGGGAGAGGTATTAGCAGTAGAAAGAGGGAAGTGCTCATACCATTGTACAGAACACTGGTGAGACCTCACTTGGAATATTGTACACAGTACTGGAGACCGTATCTTCAGAAGGATATTGATACCTTAGAGAGGGTTCAGAGAAGGGCTACTAAACTGGTTCATGGATTGCGGGATAAAACTTACCAGGAAAGGTTAAATGATCTTAACATGTATAGCTTGGAGGAAAGACGAGACAGGGGGGATATGATAGAAACATTTAAATATATAAAGGGAATCAACACAGTAAAGGAGGAGACTATATTTAAAAGAAGAAAAACTACCACAACAAGAGGACATAGTCTTAAATTAGAGGGACAAAGGTTCAAAAATAATATCAGGAAGTATTACTTTACTGAGAGGGTAGTGGATGCATGGAATAGCCTTGCAGCTGAAGTGGTAGAGGTTAACACAGTAAAGGAGTTTAAGCATGCGTGGGATAGGCATAAGGCTATCCTAACTATAAGATAAGACTAGGGAATAATGAAAGTATTTAGAAAATACTAGATGGGCCAAATGGTTCTTATCTGCCGTCACATTCTATGTTACTATGTTTCTATGTAACACAGAATTTCATTCTTTCTTTCTCTATGAGCACAGAGAATATCATATTGTTGCATTTATGAATATTGTAAGCTTGTTCGAGCAGGGCCTTCTTTATCTCTTGTCTCTGTTATATTCTGCTTTTAAATTACTTGTCAAATAAACCCATTTTAAGATTGAAAAGCACTGCTGAATATATTGGTGTCATGCGGTAACACTTCTGGGTTCGGCACTTCCGCGATGCGGAGCTGACCCCGCCCCCCTCTGACGCGGTTCTGACTGTACTTAAGCAGTCCGCGCCAGAGAGAGGGCGCTTGGTGATTGTGTGACCTACTTCCTCCATACTCGCCGGCTCCCGAGGCTCTGACAATGTGGGACCGACTTCCTGGTATACACGCCGGCTCCATAGACTCTGACAAGCCGTCCAAGCCTTTGAGCTAATGTATGGATGATACTGCATACCATGGAGGATTACTGGAGAACTGATGCTTGTTAATTATCAAGTGGACTATAACTTTGAACTCTTGGAGGATAACTCACCTTAACCTTAAGTATACCTTTCAGCTATTCTCTGCTATCTCATTTATTGATGAAGTACTACTGCTTGCTTAAAACTACACTGCTTCAAGCTACTAATTATATGGAGGACAACTCCCATCAAGCTTAATCACTAGGAACTGTTCCTTGTTTTGCAAATACTTTGCTGCCTGCTAAATATCATTATTGAAGATTATTCCTAGCAACCTAATGAATCTTATTTAATATATCTCTGAGGAAATACTTATTGATGAACTTTGTATTGTTTAATGACTTTCACTTATTCTTATTGGATTTTGCCTAAATGCAATTCATTAAGTTGATTACTGCCTAAATGCAATTCATTAAGTTTAACAATTATTAAAACTTCATTTGATTCTCAAAGTGCCAGCAATCCTCTCCTTTCTTAAAGCTACAGTATTGATACTTTAAAGATTCTCCGTTTCTTTACTATTTTAATTAGGGAGTTTTACAAGCTGCAGTTAAGTTTCAATACAAATCATCCAAGAAGCGTAACAATTGGAGCTATATAAATGCTAATAATAATAAGATTACTGTTTTGTGTGTTAGGTTTTTTTTTTGCTTTATTTTTATTTATTTTTGAAGTGGAAGAACATATACAATAATGCCTGCTATTTCCAGCAAGAAGAGATTACACCTTAATTAGTCAACATAGGCATGCGCAGCCTATTGTATAAGGGTGCGCACTCTAAATCACGAACACACACGCCGCATATATATATATATATCCAAATAGGTTATGGTGGGGAAAAATTGTGATTGAAATCCCCTTCCACCTGAAGTATGTGGATAGTTAATACAATGTTAAACAAAAATCTGCACACCAGTCAACCCATAAGACTTGCTTTTCCCACAGAAATCCCAAATCTGCAATGATGTTACAACCACTAAGGATTCATGGTGGGCATATGCAAATTAGTTTAACAAAGAATCACATTTTTGCTTCATTCCATTTTAAACATGGATTCCTTTTAATCTGTGTTTGCAGTATACAACTGCTTGGAACACAATTTAGGAAAAGATGCAAAACCAGTGAACCACTCATGGGCAGTGGCGTCGCTGGGGGGGGGCCAGAGGGGGCCATGGCCTCCCCTACATCATGCTGTGCCTGACAGGCTCTCTGGCATAGGCCCCACCCCCAAATGAAGCCCCGACTCCTGCACATAAGCCCCGCCCGCCGTAAAGAAGCAGACCATGCTGCTGCAGAAGATGGCTGCCTGACCCCCAGCAACATCCTCCAGTAACAGGTAGGCTGTCACTGCCCCCCATACAGCCCCCCATACACACACATTGCCCCCCACACTGCCCCCCATACACACACACTGCCCCATAATACACACACACTGCCCCTCATACACACACACTGCCCCCCATACACACATACTGCCCCCATACACACATACACTGCCCCCCATACACACACACCTGCCCCATACTGCACCCACATACTGCCCCCATACACACTGCTGCCCCCATACACACACACTGCCCCCATACACACATTGCCCCACCTGCCCCCCACACCTACACACAGCCCCCACTACACACTGTCCCCCATGCACACTGGCCCCCCATACTGTCCCCATACATACTGCGCCCCATACACACACTGCCCCATGGCCCCATACACACACTGCCCCCATACTGCCCCCCATACACACACACTGCCCCCCATACACACACTGCCCCATACACACACGCCCCCCATGCACATACTGCCCCCCCCATACACACTGCCCTGCCCACTGCCCCTCATACACACACACTGCCCCCATACACACACACTGCCCCCATACACACACACTGCCCCCATACACAAATACTGCCCCCCATACACACGCACACTGCTTCCCCATACACACACACTGCTCCCCCATACACACACACACTACACACATACACTATCCCTATACACTGCCGCCCACACTCACACACACACTGCAACTGTTACACACACACATACTGTCCCACACATACACTGCATCCCTGACATACACTGCCGCCCTCACTCACACACTACAATCTTCAAACACACACACTGCTCACACACTGTCCCACACACACACACACACACACACACACACTGCACCCCTTTACACATTGCACCACTCACACACACCACTGCTCCTATGCCCTACAACAGCCCCATTTCCCAGCAGACCTCAGGTAAGTTGTCAAACTGTTCTTAAACGGTTTGACTGCTTACTCTGGGAGGGGGTCCCGGCACTATTGACACCATAACCACTACACTGAACTGTAGTGGTTATTGTGTCTGGATTATTTCTTTAAATAATCTACAAGTGCCCCTACCGAGATCAGGCTCTGGATCCGCCACTGCTCAGCAGTCTGTGTGTGTGTGTATGGACTCAGCAGTCTGTGTGTGTGTCTGTTAGCGTGTATTTACTCAGCAGTCTGTGTGTATGTGTATGGACTCAGCAGTCTATGTGTGTGTGTGCATGGACTCAGCAGTCTGTGTGTGTATGGACTCAGCAGTCTGTGTGTGTGTGTATGGACTCAGCAGTGTGTGTGTGTGTGTGTGTGTGGACTCAGCAGTCTGTGTGTGTGTATGGAATCAATATTCTGTGTGTGTGTGTGTGTGTGTATTTACTCAGCAGTCTGTGAGTGTGTATGGACTCGGCAGTCTGTGTGTGCATGGACTTGGCAGTCTGTGTGTGCATGGACTCAGCAGTCTGTGTGTGTATATGTGTGTATGAACATAGCAGTCTGTGTGTGTGTGTATGGACTCAGCAGTGTGTGTGTGTATGGACTCAGCAATCTGTGTGTGTGTGTGTATGGACTGTGTGTGTGTGTATGGACTCAGCACTGTGTGTGTGTGTATGGACTCCACAGTCTATCAATAATTAAAATTCCTGTGAGTTGTTGTGTAGGAAGGGCCCCAGTGTATTGCTTTGCCCAGGGGCCCTTAACTCTGTTAAAATGGTACTGCTTGTGTGTGTCAGTGAGCTTCTATTTAGTGAGCATGTGTGTGTCAGTGAGCTTGTCTTTAGTGAGCTTGTGTGTGTGTCCCTGAACTTCTTTGTAGTGAGCCTTCTGTTTATACAAGTGAGTGTCTGTAGTAAGCTTGTGTGTGAGTCAGAGAGTTTTGTCTGTCAGTAAGCCTATTTGCGCATGTCAGTGAGCTTGTGTGCTTACTGTACTATATATATATATATATATATATATATATATATATATATGACTTGTAGGAATGGCATACTTTTTTTTCCAGGGCTGCTTTGGATTCCCAGGGATTCCCAGTTTGGCTCTGCCAGCGAGTGCACTTTACCGCTGAATAATCTGTGTGAGCTGCCACACACTTTAGCCCTGTTACACGCGTCTGGGAGCTGCTGTTGACAGGTACTAGTAGTCTAGAGATTGTGGTATATGCTCAGCTATCTGTATAATACAGATCTGTGTGTATAAAATATCCCGGGATAGTCAGTGCTTCCTGTATAGTGCTGCTCTCTGTCTTGGGATTATACAGAGAGCAGCACTATACAGGGAGCACTGAGTGTCCCAATTTATTATACACACAACCCTGTATTATACAGAGAGCACTGACTGTCCAGGGATATTATACCCAGACAGTAATTGATAGCTGTGCTGCAAAATGTCCTTGGAATTTTTTTTTCAAATGTTGGCAACTATGGCACTGTATCAAGGATAATGTGTTTGTTTTTTTAATAATCCCTGGTGGAAAATCATGATTCCTCCACCAGGTATTATTAAAAAAACAAAACACATTGTGTCGGGGGCGTGGCTTAACATGTGACAGGGGCGGGGTCAAACTGCGGCGAGGGTGGGGTTAAATGTGCCCCCCTACTTTTGTCACTGGCCCTCCATGTGCCCCCCCGAAAAATGAATCCTAGAGACGCCACTGTCGCAAGGCTCTTGCTGTAGAATTGCAGGGCTCTTGCTGTAGATTTGCCACTGCAATTTTGCTCTTTCTAGAGACTTGCAGGGCTTTTGCTGTAGACTTGCCACTGCAATTTTGCTCTTGCTAGAGACTTGCCAAGCAAATGTGCTACAAATTTAAAAAGTGTCAACTAGAACTTGAGCTGCAAGAGATCTGCTAGTAATTCACTTGCCAGTGAAAATGT